CAGAACTTAGCATCTTAGGTGGGCAAAGGATCTACATGTAGGATTTATACCATCATGATGTGCTGCATAATACGTCAGCCCTGGAGGTTAAAGGGAACAGGACTCCCTCTTTGCTTTTTAGTTTCTGGAAATCAGAGTTACATTCAGAGATGACAGGAAGTGTATTGTAGCCTACGGTACGTGCATGCAGCAATTATTCCTAATAATTACATCTTATATCACCAGAAACTAAAAAGCCACCATAGACAACCAGTAAGGATACAAGTACCGTGTGCACTGCAGACGCAGAACATGGACTCAGCGATACCAGAATACTAGCATGTACACGTCAAAATCTCAGGAAGATAATCTCGGTGTTTAAATTCCCCGAGTTGTTCCCGTCTGGAAAAAGTATTTTTCGAGATTTTCCCTGATTTCCAGAGTCTCTGTGATTGAACCCAGATTTGACAAGCTGCTGGGAAATGTAGGTCAGAGAAATATGGAATACATTTTCCACCAGTAAAGAATCAGGTACTGACCGAAAAATGAGTGAAAAAGCAGCTGGACTCCAGTAAAAATACAGAAAAAAAAAAAATTAAATAAACTTGCTCTGATGAATTATAATCAATTCAATTCGGTTTATTTATATAGCGCCAAGTCGCAACAGAAGTCATCTCAGGGCGCTGAACAGAAACATTTATATATATAAAAAATAAGTCAACAGAAACAATCGTATAAAAATAATAATTTAACACCATTTATCTGAAATAAATAAAATAAACCAGAAAGTCTGACAATATATTTAAAATATCTAAATGTATAACGATTTGATATTTGCCTACAAAAGGAAACAAGTAAATAATATTGCAACATAAAGTCCAATTCCTGTCGTGAAATGTTTATTATTTAAATTAATCATCAAGAAGTGGTGGAGATGAACTCCGTGGGAGCTCTTGGTCCTTTTAAAACTTAAAACTCTCGCGGCGTTTTGAGAAAATTACCTCGGCTCTTCACCTTCAAACAGCTGTTGAAGGTTCAACTGTTGTTTTCCGTCAATAAAAACAAAACTAAAATGTCCCGATGTAAAAAGAGTCCACTGTCGAACCGAATCCGTGAGGATTTTCTGGCCGGATCCTCGGTTCATGCTACTCCTGTGGGAATCAGGCTGCGGCTAACTAGCTTAGCTAACTCCAACCTGAAAATAAGGCTAACGGGCTAGCTTAAATGGAGTTGGTCACCCGTCACTACCTTTCCTTAGTTTAATCAATTTTAAGTAACGTTAAAAAAAACGGCGTTTAAACAAGAGTTTGGTTTAGTTGTTAGTTGGTTGATTGATTGATATAGACCCAACAACAGATGGCTGCTGCTGCTGGTTAAATTCGTGACTGTTCAGCACAGTAAGCTACATATGTTCTTACAACACCTGTACGAGTCTTTAACACACCTTGAAACTTTTAAATAACATATTCACTTCATACCTTTCAAGAACGAGACGTTTAGCGTCCTTGTTTTTCTATCCAAGCCCTCAAATCCACTTACAATCCCAAGACCGCCTTCCCTGCCTCCCTTTTAACCAATCATGTTCGAGATTACTGGGAGACCGGGAATATCGCAACTTTCCATTGGCTGAAAAGTATGGCAATCTTCTTTTATTGGCTGAAAACTTCCGTTACTAAATAAAGTGGGTTTTAGGAAGAGTCCTGTTCATGTGAGGCGCACGGAAGCTGTACAGTCTGTTCTCCCAAGCTTTTAAACCATAACCTTCAGTAAATTAAACTTTAAATGAAGTGAAAATGAATTTTAACAAAACTGAAAATGAGGAAGGAACTGATTTATTTGTATGCGCACTGTGAAAGGAAATTATGTGAGAAGTTTATTGTATTTCTTTGTTATAATTATTTTATTGTCACAATAACTAGGAACTCCGTAATTGAACGATTTTGCACAAAAGGGTATGGTTTGCATATGTGGGACATGAAAGCAGTACAAACTATTGCGAGAAAAATAAATTTAAATACATTTTTATATTTAGATAAGGTTATCAGAGACTACTCCTGTTCAAACACAAAAGTGATATTTTGTACATAGGTATTGTTTAATTGTTTTACAGAAAGTGTAATGAATTTTCTTAACTGGTTAATGATTCAAAGCTTGATGAACCCCCAACAAACACACTAATTTCTTGAAATTTGGCCACATGCTTAAAATTGACCAAAGTGCTTTACAATTTATTCAGATGAAAATATATTATAAAACATAAAAACAAGGAAATACAAGTTATCTTGTATCACATGGAAACTCAAGAAGGAAAAAAATAATATAGAGATGAACAACATATAAAACCCATCAGCTCTAAATGGATTTCATATTCTGCCTGAATCAAACTCCAAGGAAAAAAGAAACATTTAAAAGTCTCAACAATCTTTAAAAGATCAGGTATTTAAAGAAAGAAAAAGATAAATATACCTACTTGAATCTAGACTTATGTAAAGACCGAGCAGCAGTCTTAATACTTCAGCTTCAGCAGGAGAGCAAATTTTTCATTTTGATTTATTAAGGTTGCTGTCAATATTGTTTCATAACAAACACAAATACAACTGTGATTACAATAAAGATAACACAAACTGACAAATCTATATATTTGCTGATTGTTTGCCTCTCCTACAGTGATGGCTGGACACCGGCACCAGTGCCCCCCTCAACCCGAAAAGGAAGAAGCAGGTAAAGATAATGGATGGATGGATGGATTAAATTTTTTTTTACTGTGAAGCACTTTGTGACTTTTTGAAGGCTGTGAAAGATTCTATTTATCAAAAGTTTAAACCTCATCCACAACCGTTTATTATGTTCTTAAAATAAAGTTTTTAAATTTAGAGATTTTACTTGGAAACAGGTCTCGCTTGAAAACGAGTCCTTGTGACTCAATTAGACTGTATAAATAAAGGTTAAAAAAATAAATAATTATATTACTTCACAACTTTTCCTGTGGCAAGCATCTTTCTGTATGAATAAATAAGCAGAACATGCAGATGTTTCATCATCAGCCTGTTTTATCATCTGCCTTTCACTTCTTGACCTGCTTTCAGAGCGCTCCACAATTTACTTAGTATTTATTTACAAAACTAAAATTTGAGAGATTTGAATTTTCCACATAAGTGAAGAAATCCATTTTTACTCAAATATAAACAGATCACACAACACACAACAAAACTGATTCTTCCCCCAACAGCTTACTCCAAAGTGGAACAAACCAGTTCTGCTTGTGATAAGATAGTCTCTTTGGTACGCCCCCTCCTCCATTGCCGGCCCTCTTCCTTGTTGACAGTCTTGTCAAACTGGTTGAAAACAACAAAGTCCATGCTCAATAATCCAGGTATAAAATCTAAAATTTTTCAGTCAGGTCATCTGGACAGTTTCTTTGTTTTGTGCTGAAACGTTTCGCTTTTGTTGTGTGTTTCCTTGACTGATGAAGCCTTCCGGACCGAAGGCGAAACGTTTCAGCACATAAAAAAGAAACTGTCCAGATGACCTGACTGAAAAATGTTGCATTGCAATAGTCTTTTACTTTAAATGTACTAGTTTAATCTGCACGGCATTGAATGATTACATTTGCATATTTAACCTCCTAAGACCCGGACTCTTGCATATGTGGATGCCAGGTCCTAGGAGGTTATTTGGTTACCTTTTGCTTTTTTTACTTCCTCACTGTTATATATCAAAGTTTACACTGCCACTTTAACGGTTTTATCTGCACTACATTGGGTACTATGAGATTTTCAGTGCAATATTCAATACAGATTTTGTGTTAAAATACATTTTCAAATGTCTTTGTTTACACCGCCAATATGATATACTTGTTTACAATGCTCATTGTTGTGACACAAATAAAAACACTAAAAACTTGAATTATGCTTCCATCATTTATTCACATTATGCAAAGTATGAAGGTTACATGAGTTCATGTTCAGTTCACACTGTTATTTAATGGTTTATAGCTTCAAAACAACACTGGGGCACATGTGTCGGGAAATACTACTGAAGGTGATGTTTGTTTGTCTTACAGCTGAAACCCATGCCATGCGACATCTCTTTGTTAGCTCGGCGACCTTTGTTCCACTGTGTTGTTTCCAAGCTGCAAGAAGTTTCCTCTACGATCGTGAGAACGATTGTGGCAGTTGATAACACAGCAAGCATTCACCATTTCTTTGTGATTTCATTTATGATCATGTAAACAAAATCACACCGCACCATTCTGTGTCCTAAGCTCCCAAAACTGGCTGTAACTATCATAACCACCATTGCACCCAGTATTCACTGGTTAACTGGTCATCATTAACTTCACGTAGACTCTCCCACTGGTACATTTTCATCTTTAAATCACTTCTTGGTCTGCTGCCTTCATACATCTCCTCCTACATGTCTCTAAGTGAGCGCAAATACAGCGTGCGCTCTCAGGACATTATTACCTGCAGTGTTCCCTCAGTGCGGACTGAACTAGGCAAAGTGCCTTCTCCTGCTCCGCTCCTAGAATATCTTGCATAAAGACCTGAAGCTCTCGACCTTGACCTCTCTTTTTAGTTTTCTACACCACCTTACAATCTAGCTGTTTTTTTCACTACTTTCCCCTTTAATTATCATTTTATTTTCATTTGTTAAAAAACAAAATAAAATAACAAACGTGTACGCATCCATCACTTTTTGTTAAAATTCAGATCTCTCTTGTAAATGAGTCCCCGAGGCTCAATGGGACTAACCTGTACAATAAAGGTTGAATGGAAAAAAAAATGCATTGCGTTGCGCATGTCGGCTGACGTCATGATCCCGGAATCCATATTTTTTATTTTTTTTTATTTTTTTTACATTTGGCTTTTGCTGGACTCCGCATACTAATATCCCCCTCCCCCAACCTAATGCTCTTTTTCCATAAAATAAAAAAATAAAAAATAAAAAACTTGCGTGTTAAACTACTGTGCAGTGAACTGTCACAATAGAACCGTAGAAGAAGAAAAAGCCCCGCCTTCCGACACACCCGTTCACTGAACGTTAGGGGTATTTTTTTTCTCCTGTTACTAGTTTGTTTATGACGCTGCTCATTGACTCCGTTAGCTTTACTGCTGATCAGGAGGTTATTGTTTCTAAAGGACATTTTTTTAACCGTCTTTTTTTATTATTCTGTGCTGTGAACAAGCCCGGTTTTACGAGGTGGAAGACAGTCAACATAGAACCACAGATTTACATTCGTTAGCCTGGCGTTGGCTAGCATATTTGTAACGTAATGACATGACGTTGGATAAGAAAGTCGTTTTTCACGACGCTTGGGCTAAATTACACGGTTAATTTAAACAAGACTGTGTAAAGCGAGGACAGTGCACATGTAAGATAGTGAAGAGAACCGCAGGTTAGGCTTTGACACAGCTGTCTAACTTGGACTAGCTGCTGAGCTAAACTGTTAGCATGGCTTCAGATACAAGCGACACCGAGGAGTTCTATGATGCTCCAGAGGACGTTAATTTCACCCCATCTCCAAAAGTGTAAGTGCACATTTTAATACCAGTAGACCTTAGTGCAGGTTTTAATTTTGTGTCAGTCACATTAATTTATTACAGCAACTAATGCCATCATAGCTTGAGCATAATATTTTTGGCTAGGAAATACCACTAAATATGATCTTTAGAGTATTGATCATGCTTCTAACTTACCTTTACTATATCATATTTACCAAACAATAGTCTGTGCGACACTGAGTGAACCTGGCCAGATATTCAGAAACTTTCTATTACCAACACTTTGTATGGAAAAAGGTTGGTTTAAGCAAACTAATTTTCACATTCTAAAAGATGTCCAGATGACATGATTTAACCCTTTTTTGTGATTTATCTACATGGATGATTGAGCTGTCAAACCTTTTTTCTGAACCATTTTGGCCAGGTGTCCTCAGGCTGTTTCTGTGAGTAGCAAGTTGGCCATCTGGCTGAAAACATTTGATTGTTATGCATGATTATTGTTTTGGATGGATGGTCCCCTTTTTGCACGTGTAAAGCTAGTTTCTTTGGATTCCACAGAGGGCTGGCTCGAAACACATCGAGAAGGTGTTGTAAGACAGATCTGGGTTGGCAGGCCTCAGACTGATGAAGTCTTTTGGATGAAAGACGAAACGTTCCTCCCAAAAAAGAAACTTGTCCAGATGACATGATTGAACTTTTTATCTAGTTTTAATGTCCACATTAACAAAAAATGGAACTAATTTACATAGTGTTTTGTTAATTGAGTTTCCCTGCACTTATGACTGTAACTCTTGTTTTTCAGGCAACCTGTGAAGTTTATCTGTCCGTCACCTCAGGTTTGTTTTTAAAAACTCAAGCACTGTTGACCAAAGGTGGATACATAGGCTCATCATCTGGGCTTTAGATTAAAGTAAATACAACCTCAAGTAAACAAAACCACTTAGGTTGGGTTTTGTTGTTTATTGAATCAAACTAAGAACTGCCGAAGCAGCATATGAAAAAGTGAGTAAACTCACTGCTCAAGTTACAACAAAGTGCTGTCAATCACATGCTCTTTATAACCTGATTGCCAACAAGAGTGAACATCTCTTTAAAAGCATAAACTGGCAATTTGATGCTCTGGAACATTTGCGGGTGTGTTGAAAATGAAAACACAGCTTCAAAGACAACCCCCCCCATAAGAATAATCTTAATCAGGTTTTGCTCCTTTAAAAATCTGTAAGGAACAGGACTCTTTCCAAACATTTTAAAGTTAAGGGAGTAATGTTTGCAAGTGGGAAAACATTCAGAAACTTTTTATTCTCCCCCTAAGCTCATTGTGAGGTCAGACTGTTTAGAAAAATACAAACAAACAAAACCAGGAGCCGCATTTCAAACCCCACTGGGTGCAGTCAGTGCTTTAAGTCTTAAAGTTTAAGATGAAACAAGTTTGGCTTGTTTTTAAGGGTTTCCAGCAGAAAACCTCACCTCTCTGTAAGAACAGGCTGCATCCACCAAGCCACAAGATATCTAGAGCAATAACCGAATGAATCTAAAGAAAGAGTAATTAAATAAAAAGTGATTATATTCGGCTGTGATGCAGTGTTCAGCTTGATGGTTCAGGGTTGAAGACGAAGGTGCGACAGATCTACAACAAAAAGGTGGAATCCAGATGTGACTGTGGTTTAACATTCAGACTTCAGTCTAAAACACTTCGACAGAACAACTGTCTGTAAACAAACATTCTGCAAACATCATTAAACTGAAGGAAAGTTGTAAAGAAGAACGAGCCTAAATTCCTCCCTAACTGTGACAGACTGATCTTGTCCTACAGAAGATGAATACTTCAAGTTGTTACTTGTTGAAGTGGTTCTACAACCTGTTTAATCACCGGGTACTTGGTCTCTAACGCTCTGTTTCTGCATGTCGTAGAGTTTCTCAGATAAATATAACGTGTTTCTGTTCATTTGAGGTTGCTTTGATCATTTTTTAAACTGGATGAGGGCAAGCTTTATTTAATATTTAAATCCCTAAAAGTTGAACAGTTTACATAACGTTTGGTGATAATTTTGTTATGTAATTTGTTTTTATTTAAACAGGTATCTCAGAGTTCAGATGCTGTGCAGGATGTGAGCTGTGCCGCCCTTGAGACTCAGCAAGATGATTCTCTGCAGGTACGGTTTCGTAACGGGGCGGGGGGGGGGGTGCAATTACAGACACATCTCTAACAGAGTTGAACTGGACAAATGAACCAGTGAACAAAATACAAATATAATCTTGGTATTTTCTGTTCATAGATCATTGATAGCATCATTGAGGAGAGTCAAAAGGGAAGTGTTGAGGATGTTGGCGAGGTGGTTCAGTTGTTAGACGAGCTGCACGTTGATGTACGAGCAGGGTCAAAGGAAGAGCCGACTGCTGAGGTAGTTCCAGTGGAGCAACCAGTGCGAGCTGTCGGACCTGAACTTGTCGAGGGGCAGGAACAAGAGGAAAGCGGAGCAACAAACGACGCTAACTCTTCACCTGATCCTGAACCTTCAGATCTTCCAGGACCGTCAGCTGTATCGCAGGAACGTGTGCAGCCTCCAGATCTCACCAGCACCATAGGACAGAGCCAGCCATGTGCTGCTGCAGCTGCAGGAGGTGACCAGGAGCCGAGACCTGCAGATATCCTAGACCAGGTTCCCTTGACTGACAGTCTGGCTGATATAGACTCTCACGGGCCCATGAAACCCCCACGACAATTTGCAGTAGAACCAGATATTGTAGCCAGCACAAAGAAGCCGCCTCCCTCTCGCCCACCCCCTCCTGTTGGGGGTCCTCCACCAAGACCACCTCCACCAGCTAGGAACAGCTTTTCCTTCAAGAAGTCTCAGGAGACTCTGAGGCCTAGTGGACTAGAAGGTGAGAGGACATTTCATTGGAAAAGCAGAGAATGAAATTAAAACCATCTGTCCAGATTTCAGTAAAAGTCTTGTTTTGTTGTTTGAGCAGTGGGTTCAGTCAGCTGTGATTCTCTGGATCCGTCGGGCCTGGTGTCTCCGTGCAGCACAGTAAGAAGTTTAACAAAAGATCTTCAGCATTCCTTGGATCTGGCCAGCGCCACAAGTGGGGACAAGGTGGTGACGGCTCAGGTCAGTGAAGCTGCTGTCCGTCAGGAACGCGCTCAGAGCTGCTTAATGATGAGCAGTGCACGCATCTGTTGCATCATTGCTTTCTGTTTTCTGTTCATTATGGATGTATTTCTGTTTTCACAGGAAAATGAGGGTGAACAGGCTTCGACTCAGAGCGGAGGACAAACTCCTGGTCCTCAGCGTCCACGCTCCAACTCTGGTAGAGAACTAACAGATGAAGTAAGAGTTGTTTTGTGTCTTCTCCTTTGTTGGCCCCCCGTCGTGGAGAAAAGAGAGGGAATTAGGAATACCTTCTGTCCGTGCGTGCACGTTGTGAGCACGGTAACTTGAAAAATAAGCGAGGTGCCAACTTCCATTTTGGTGTGTGGCTGCATCTAGAAATGGTTACGATCAAAAATTGGATTACCACGTTAAAATCCAAGAAGACCACGAGCATATTTTATGTAAACCGGACCCCCCAATCATTTAAGGAAACTGTTTCATATTGAGTAAGTAGGCTCAATATCTAATTAGTTATTTATTATTATTTAATTTAAACTTTTTGTGCCATGTTTTATATTGCTTTTAAGTAGAGTTTCCTCAAATGACTGAGGTGGGCAAAGATTAATCTATGGGGGGGGGCCAAGGCCACCATTTCCCATTGTCTGTTTACAGTGATTAGGGACAGAGATGGGGTCATATCTTTGTACCAGCTAGGTCTTTATTTCCACATTTCTGAGATGCTAAACTGTTTGGAAAACATTTAGATACATTATTCTAAATCCCTTGCTCATTACTAACCCAAGCAGATGACATATTTCCCACAATGCCAGTTTTTAGGGCCATTTTAGTCATTTGGAACTTTTTTCATCAGGTTATAAAATGTTATATTTCACTTGGCGCGTAAATTTCCCCTGTGTGCTGCACTGCAGAGTCACACTCGAGTGTAATCTGTGAACAGGAAATCCTGGCCAGCGTGATGATCAAGAATTTAGACACGGGCGAAGAGATACCTTTGATTCAGGCAGAGGAGAAACTTCCTGCTGGGATCAACCCTCTCACGCTGCACATCATGAGGAGGACCAAGGAGTACATTACGTAAGCTGAAGAGTACCTTTACTGTTTAAACCACTCGACATTTACATTAAAATATAGCAATAATGATGTTGAGACTTTTATTTGAGCGTCAAATTAAGCATTTAAGATGAAGTTAGTGTTGCTGTGGACTATGTAGACTTTAAAGCATTAAAACAAATGAAATGTGTATATATATTTTTTCCTACGTCCAGGAACGATGCGGCGCAGTCGGATGACGACGACAAGCCTCAGGCCGCCCTGTCAGACACAGACGGTGGAAAACTGAAGCAGAAAACGTAATGCCGCTCAGTTTAGCTTCTTCCCTCCGCACGATCTGAGTTGGAGCACGAAAACTTGTTCCCTTTTTCTATTTTCAACCAGAACGCAGCTGAAAAAATTCCTGGGCAAGTCCGTGAAGAAGGCCAAACACCTCGCCGAGGAGTACGGAGAGAAGGCGGTCAATAAAGTGAAAAGTGTGCGGGACGAAGTTAAAAGTACGTTTTATTTTTTTCCTATAAAAAAACAAAAATCACATTTAAAAAAAATATTTTTAACAGTTCAGGCTGTTTGTCTTTGTCCCTCTCTAGGTACTTTCTATAATGTTCAAAATCATTTCATGAGTACTAGTTCTGCAGATACAGAACGTTGTGCTGCTTTTGAAGGTTTTATTTAAACATGTAAAGGATTTTGCTACATAAATATGAAGCATGCCTGCTGCTGCAGAGATCCAGATCATTTCAGCGCTGCGTTTTGTGTCGGTTGCTCACCAGTGTTCCACACAGATCAGGACGACCCTTCATCCAGTGACGATGAAGGCATGCCTTACACCAGACCTGTCAAATTTAAGGCGGCTCACAGCTTCAAAGGTCCCTTTGACTTCGATCAGATCAAGGTTGTGCAGGACCTGAGTGGAGAGCACATGGTAAGACTGTTGTCATCCAGCATTTTGGATTCATGTATTAATAAACGTTTTAATTAATGTTTTTTTTGTCAGGGCGCTGTTTGGACAATGAAGTTCTCTCACTGCGGGCGGCTGCTGGCAACGGCAGGTCAAGATAACATTGTTCGCATCTGGGTCCTGAAGACGGCCTTTGATTACTTCAATAATATGAGGATAAAGTACAACACGGAAGGTACGCTCACCTGCAGCTCCACATCGAGGCTGCACGACACAAGTGCTGCTGGAGGGTCATGCTTTGTGTTTTTACTCCATCCAGGTCGAGTTTCACCTTCTCCCTCTCAGGAAAGTTTATGCTCCTCTAAATCTGACACTGATCCTGGGGTGAGTGGAGAAACAGTCTTTACTTTCAGCTCTTTATCCTGGTAATAACGCTGGATTCTAAACCTTCCTACCAACAGCTGTTTGAGCCTTTTTTCTTGAAATCTTTGCTCTTGTATTTTAGATGAGTTGTCTTCCAGAGGACCCAGACACCGAAGACAGAAATGCTCCGTTCCGTCAGGTTCCCTTCTGCAAGTACAAAGGTCACACAGCTGACCTGTTGGACTTGTCCTGGTCCAAGGTGATGGTTCCACTCCCCTCGTCTTCAATTTTATTGAAACCAAAACAGAAGTGGTGGTTTTTGGACACTACTGGGCCATCCCCTGTAGCTTTTAGTTCCTTGGTCCAGTACGGCAAACTGACTGGGATATCTGGGGGTTGAACTGGGTCCTGGGCTTTAGCTAGAAATTCAGATCAGGTTATTCATTAAAATGTTTTTATGTGAGGCAGCTCGCCAAAATAAAGCCCCTTCTTCCAAGAAAACACTTTGAGACGGTAATCCATGCTTTTCCCACCACCCGGCTGGATTACAGCACTTTATCTGGGGCTGAGTGGCTCCTCCGTGACCCGACTGAAGAGTCCAAAATGCTCAGGTCCTGGGCAGGTCTCTTGTAAATGAGTCCTCGAGGCTCAATGGGATTTACCTTCTACAGTGTAAATAAAGGTTGAATGAAAAAAAAAGCTGCTGCGCTGTTTAACATGAGAACATCTCCGTTTGTCCTCCCTCCTCTGGCTGAAACATTTTGAAGAACTTTTGTTTGAAAATCTTTGGATGACCTTGTCCCATCCTACCTCTCTGAGCTGCTGCATCCTACAAAGATCAGATCCCTACATCTAGACTCCAGCTCGGGGGGTGGGGGATCATGTTTTTGTTGCAGCAGCTCTTAAGTCATGGACCGAGCTGCCCCTGCAACTCAGACAGGCCTGTTCATGGTCTTTGTTTAAAACCAGCTCTTTTCCTTGACTTGTGCTTCAAAAAGAGTTGGATTAATTTTGAGCCGGTAGATTTTTTAGTTTCATCTGATTTTATTTGACTCAATTTAATGAATCTTGCTGGTTATATTGGTTTTAATCGTCTTGTATTGCGTGGCTCGTGTTTCATCGACTGTGCAGCTCTTTAATCTGCTGCAGCGTTTTAACGTGCTTTACAAATAAAGATGGACTGGGTTCGTCGTTGTGCTCCCTGCTCACACGTCCTAAATCCTGCTTACCTGTTCTGGTTTTGTCCTGTAGAACTTCTTCCTGCTCTCCTCCTCCATGGATAAAACGGTTCGGTTATGGCACATATCCCGGAGAGAGTGTCTCTGCTGCTTTCAACACATCGATTTCGTCACAGCCATCGCTTTCCACCCCAGAGTAAGTTGGGTCGCCTCGACACAAAACCATCCGTTGTCATCGTCTCCCCGTCTCGTTTAACTGAAATACTATTTTCTCTGATCTTTCTTAGGACGATCGATACTTTTTAAGCGGTTCTCTGGATGGAAAACTCCGACTTTGGAACATTCCAGACAAGAAGGTGGCGCTGTGGAACGAGGTGGACGGTCAAACCCGACTCATTACTGCAGCCAACTTCTGCCAAAATGGGAAGTACGCCGTCATTGGCACGTACGACGGCCGCTGCATCTTTTATGACACCGAGGTACTTCTTTTTCTGGACTTTAGTCTCCTAATCACACCCTCATCACTGTATTCATATCAGTTAATGTGTTTTTTCCCTCGTTAGCGACTGAAATACCACACTCAGATACATGTGAGGTCCACCAGAGGCCGGAACAAAGTCGGACGTAAAATAACTGGAATAGAGCCTCTGCCGGGTGAAAGTAAGGTCAGAACTTCCCTCCTCTACAGTCACGAGCAGAACGTTTGAGGATACGTTCGCACTGCAGGTCTTAACGCTCAGTTCCAAATTTATTTGCTCAGATACCATTTTTTGTTTTTTTTGCGTGGTCGTTCATATTAAAATGCAACCTCCATCAGACTCCAGTGTGATCCGTTTACAGTTCTGAGGAAGATTTAGTGACGTCACGTGCGGCACGCAGGGTTTAATTAAGTAAATATGGATGCTACACGTTAGCATGTGTGATCCTGAAGCTGCGGTGCAATCAGAACCGATCCAAGTGTCTGCCATGCTTGTTTGGTCCCGTGTTTGCGTTTAATCCTGCCCCTTGACGACTCCTTCGGTGCAGGATTGTATTTTTGGAATGCGAGAGACGAACTGAAGGTAAAACCAAACATGGATCCCATCACGTTTGTATCAAAACGATTCGACAACGTTGGCATCAGATGTTGCTGTAGTTTCATCCAGGACATGAAAACTGAGCTTGTTCCTCAGCTGAAGACATGCAGAGATCTAAGACTTTAACTGCACAGGTTGGTATCATTGCGTGAACTTTTCTGAATCATTCTCAACTTTCAGATCCGTTTTCCTTCTGTCCATTTTTTGGCACACAACTCTTTCCACAATTGTTGTGCTGTCAACAATTCATAAATCAAAACGTTTATTCAGGACATTCCTGCTGGGACTTTTGGTATTTGTCCAACTTTTACTTTTTAAAATATTTTTGTTGGCCATGTTTGTCTCATTTCAAATGAGTGGAGCTCTTCACATCCTTCAAACTCTTTGAGCTGTTTACAACCTGTTACTGCTAATTTCGGCTGTTCTGGTTCAGCTTCTTATTGCTAATTTCAGCTTCAGCTCCTTCCATCTTCTTACTGCCAAGTTCAGCTTTTTCAGGTACTTTTCTTCTGCCTTATTTATTTTTGCCAATTTCTGCTTTTTGTGCTTTTTCATAATTTCACCATGCTTTCAGCAGTTAATTTCAGCTTTAGTCTCTTTAGCTACTTTTTTCTCATTTCAGCGTTTTTACGATTCATTCACCTTCTGTCTATTTAAGCTTATTCCTGCTCTATTCAACTTTTTCTACACATTTGTACTTTTATTTTTCTGCTCTCAACGAATGTCAGATGTTCAGATTCACATTAACAGTTGAGTAATTAAACCTTTTCGGCTTGGTTCCAGCTAAAATCAGCTGTAGGCATTCGCACTGCGTTATCACTGGAAATGACGTTTCTCTAGATAAGATGGACCTGCTCACCCCTACTTCAGTGATATCAGAGTTGGATGAAATGCGACCTGACCGTTCAGACTGAGGACACTCTGAAGAACATTAGATATGTCTAATTCAGTAGCACGTTGTTTAAGACTTGGGGCAGATTTGTCACGTTCAGATTGTCCTGAAAAAAAAAAATCTGATTTGGGCCACATTTTCCTGCAGTGTGAACGCAGCCTGAGCTCTCCATCTTAAGGCTTGTTAAACATCCAAACCCTCTGCCCTCAGATTTTGGTGACCTCAAACGATTCTCGCATTCGCCTGTATGACTTGAGGGACTTGTCTCTGTCCATGAAGTACAAAGGTTACGTCAACAGCAGCAGCCAGATTAAAGCCAGCTTCAGGTGAAGGCTTCCCATCACACTGAACATTTTTAACCTTGTAAAAGTTACTTGATCGTAAACGAGCGATTTTACCGTCTAAAATTCACCTTTTTAAAAACTGTCTTACAGCCACGACTACTCCTTCATCGTCAGCGGCTCCGAGGATAAATATGTTTACATCTGGAGCACCTACCACGATCTTAGCAAATTCACTTCCGTAAGACGAGACCGCAACGACTTCTGGGAAGGAATCAAAGGTATCTGGACTCAAACAGCAGGTTATCGGTGTTTGAACTATTTTCTCTCTAAAGCTTTGCGTTCGTCTGCCAGCACACAACGCAGTGGTCACCTCGGCCGTCTTTGCGCCTCATCCGGCCCTCATCGTTCCACAAGAAACGGCAGAGAAACCGGAAGCGGACCGCAAGAGCCTGGATTCCACAGACTCCGAAACGATACCGTCAGGTACGCAATGTTTTGGTCGCTCAGACTGATCTGACAACACGGAGGCTGGTTTATTAAATGTTTGTTTCCTTTGCAGGAGCTCTAAAAACAGACCACACAGAGGTTCTTCTCTCTGCTGACTTCACTGGAGCCATCAAAGTTTTCATCAACGTCAAAAAGTACTGAACACTTCACATGCAGGGCAGATCAGTCCAAAAGATGGAGGACAGCCTGTCTGGGGTCCAAGTTTTCCTACTTAGTGATCGGAACCTTGAAAACATGGGAGGAATAGACTAGAAAACAAACAAGGTGAGGTTCCTCGTCATATTTCTTATTTTTCCTACCAGACAAATGTGAAGGGTTTTGCAATTAGAGGCTAAATAAAAGGGTTGGAGCAGATTATGATTTTGTTCAGATGTGTAAATGTAAAGATTTATTAAACAGTAGCTAAAACGGTATTTGCTGCTGGACGAGCACCTTGATTTCTGTGACTCACTTTCCAGAGAAATGTTCCTAAAAAAACAAGACACTGTTGTCGAGTTCTGTTTTATGGTTTGTGACTTTTTGTCCTGTTGTCCAGTGGAACTAAAACATTTTGCGTTTTTATATCCAGCTTCTGAGGCGTTCCCCTAACAAACCAAACGTTTCTCTACATCTGCTGAACAGGTGGACTTTATGCAGCTACTAACAACCAGGGCTGGGAGGCTGTTTTTTGTTTTTCCTCAAAACAGTACTGGCTCTTAGTATTTTGTTCATGAATGTCTCTGTTCGGCTAAAGCACATTTCATGATAGGACTGTAAATCTGTTGTGTAATATTGCAAATCTTCTGCTTTTGTAAACAAATGATGTACTTTCCTCAATAAAAATCTTGTCTATTCTACGCATTCATCGCCATGATTTTATTTAGTGTCAGACGTGTGCAGCAACATACGTTTAAAAAAAACATTTATATATTTATATATTTACATTTACAAGTAGTTACAGTGTTCCAACTTCACCATAGAAAAGGGAGTTGAATGTTTCACAGACAGTTTGAGACCAGGACAACAAATGTGTCTTCAGATGTCCACTGTGTCAGGACACTGGGATGTCCAGACTGGAGTCAGTGTTTGCTCCTTTTTGCCTTCTTGTGGGAGCGATGTGGTGACCGGGACCTGGATTTGTCCACCTTCTGGTCCTGACATGGTGATCTGGAGCGTTTAGACCTTTTAGGAGACTTTGTTCTGTAATAAATGAAGACAAATTGATTTAACGGGTAACAAATTGAAAACCACGCAGAGAAAGTGTTTTGTAGTGCTTGCCTTAAAGGAGAGATGCTTCGTGATTTTCGAAGCCGGTCTCCAGGATCGCTGGTTCGTCTTTTGTCGCCGTCGTCCTTCTTTTTGCTCCTTTCTTTTTTCCGCTTGTCATCTTTCTGCTTGTCTTTGGACTTGGATCTCTCGTTCTTTTCTTCGTCTTTTAAAAACTCCTACAACAAATAATGTAAACACATTTCCCTAAAGTCAGATTGATGTTTTTGTGTTCAAATTTAGGGTGGATTTAGAGTCTGAAAAGCAGACTGTTGTCGCACAGCTGGTGACGCAAACTTCTGTACAAACACAACGATGCAGCGCTAACATGCCTGTTGCCACATACAGCACATTATACCCCCATCGACAAACTACAGCAATCTCTCGCAATGGCCTGGACAAGCAAAGACCATGTATAACCTTTGACCTTGATTTGCAACCTTGACTAGAGCTGGGTAATAAAAAGATTACATGACACACCGTCTAGTGGTACGAATGTGTGTGACGTTTAATTACATTCCCTTGAGAGGATCTGAAGTTATGGGCGTGATGAAAGTTTACGAACTTCTGGAGACTATAGCTTAATACATCCGCCTTTCAACGAGTGTTTATAAATGGTGGCTTCACACAACATGTCTTAATGTCATTAATGTGGCACAGATGCACAGAGACATGTAATGTCAACAGTAAAATATTAAATCCCACCTGGTCAGAGTTCAAAAAGTAATGCAACTGCACCCTCCTTCCTGTACATGGAGTAATTCTGACAATGTGTTCATGATTAAAGTGTAGCTCTGAATGAATATCCTGTTTTGCTGGACTCATTTTAAAACAGCCATTAATGGTTTTGACCCAAAGCTTTTATGAAACTTCTCCTTTTCAGCCTGTTTGTCCAGTACAAAGTATAATGCAGAACACCGTTAAAACAAAAAATAACCACCTTCTGTAGCAGTTTGTGTCTGTAATGAGTCACTTGTTGCGTGACGCTCATCCCAGACTTCGTCTGCCTTTTGCCAGATTCCAGCTCATCTTGGTACTTCATAACCTTAACCTGAATCAGAGACGATCAGTCAGTTTCACTTTTTAAATCAGCATATTTACATTTAAAATACCCGATTAGTAATTAAGTCACTTAAATGAGGAGCACAGCTGCTGTATTTGTGTTACCTCCAGTTCTCTCAACTTTTTCCTTTTGCTCTCAGTCATTTGAAAACTTTTAAGTGAGCTCTGAAAAACTGCACTGTCATAGTTTGGTGCGATGGAGGAGTCGGCACTGCTGTCGCTCTCAGAGCCCTCGTCTTCGTCTTGCAGGTTGCAACTGGTGCCAGAAAAAAAAACATTGAGATAGGAGCTGTCACATTCAAAGACCACAGTCGTTTCTTCAGAGCCAATCAGTTCTTACCTGACATTCACTTTATCTTCATCTTGATTGTCTGCCGTGTCCCACTTGGACTCAGTTTTGGCTGAGCGATAAAAAATAATGAGGAAAAACTGCAGGGACCAGACTGATGATGATAAGACATTTTGACATGTCTTACCTTGAAGAAATGTCCTGGTATCGCTGCTTTTCTCCCATTTAGATAAAGGCACTCCAGAGAGAACACTGCTCTCTTCCACTGCAGAAACAAAACGCAGACCTGGATCAGCACCAGAGTTCCTATAAAACCACTTGAGTACACTCTGGTCACGTGACCCTGTGATTCACTGCAGCAATGGTGGCCATTACCAAAAGGTCAGCACTTGGCGTTTTGACTAAATAGCCCTGAGTAGGACTGACTATGTATAAAAATAATAAATATATTGTTAGAAGTTTAATCTTGTTGGAGGCCCAGTCTGGTCTACTCTGACTTGTAACCTGGTTCGGAACAGATCATACAGTCTCAGCTGCTCACAATGAGCGATCCCAGGGTCAACACCCGATGAGACATTTTTAGTTTTTCTTCCAACACGTAGATTTGTACATCACCCTATATCCACTATCAGAAACAGATAAGACCAGTGAGGTCACACATAGTCACTGGTACGCTCTGCTAGGCTGTGCCTGCCCCGGATGTTAAGGTGGAGCCAAGGGCCAACATAAGCTGGGGCGTTCTGTTGCACGGGGCCTCCGCTTCTGGGTTGCGACTGGTCGGGCGGACGCCTCAGCACCAAGCTTGTAATTTTTCCTGTCTTATCGACATTAAATGGTAAATATAATTTTCCTCTCTTGAGTTCATGTGAGTTTCTTGTCCACCTGAGAACAAAAAGAACCGGAAGGGCGCCGTGGTCGGACGGCTGACAAATTGGTGCCGAAACCCGGACTATTTCATTTGACTAAATAGCCCTGAGTAGGGCTGACTACATAAAAAATGTACAAAAATAATAAATATATGTACAGGTAATAATATATTAGAATGTATATAAAACTGTAACAATGTCAAAGCTGTGTGTGATATGGATGTGTGCCACTCAAGAGAAAAGAGAAAATGTGTCTCCTTTCACAAGTCAGCAGATTTGATCTTATTTACCTCCATGTTAATGTGATCCGATCAGAACTGAAGCCAATCATATAAGTTTAAAAGAAGCCTATAAAGCCGATGTAACAGCTGTTGATTATTGAGTTGGCTCGCAGATTGTAGCTTCTGTGGCAGATATTGCTGTGCTGTACTACAGGCTGAATCACGCTGGCAGCACGACAGCTCAGTGGTTAGCACTGTTGCCTCACAGCAAGAAGGTCCTGGGTTCAATCCCTGGTTGGACCTGGGGTCTTTCTGTGTGGAATTTGCATGTTCTTCTCGTGCTTGCGTGAGTTTTCTCTAGGTTCTCCTGTTTCCTCCCACAGATCAAAAGCATGCATGTTAGTCTGCCTTCAGGCCCAGGCCTCCCTTGCAAAAGAGATCTGTGATCTCAATGGGATTTGCCTGGTTAAATAAATATTAATAAATAATAAATAGAATTTAGTACAAATGATTAAAGAGTCCAAGCTGCTGCTGTCTCTGGTAACAATTCATTATCTGCTCTGAAAATGTACTTTTTAATCCTGAGTATAGATTATTAACTGATCACTGAAATTAGCTGCAGCTAAAAAGTCTTGAGATTGGAAGTCAGTCATTAATTACTGACTGACTTCAGGTCTAGTTTAGACCACCATTAGTTAGACCTAATATATTTTACTTCTGTAACACTGAGCTGTTTTACATGATTGTTGTATAACTTACCACTAATTATGAATTATATGAAATTACTGTAAAAATTATTTGGGACACAGATCCAGTTGGGCTTGCTGTTAAAGAGTTGTTTTGAGCAGTAGCTCGTTTTAGACGCCGTCTTAGCTTCTCCACAATGTCACAAATGTAAACAATGGGTGGGATGAACCGTGCACATTAGAGTGGGACTATATGACTCTATGGTCAGCACCAACACAGGCAGAAAGCTAAAACCACAAGTCAGACAGCTACTCAATGTTCCTCTCTACATGGTGGACTCACGGGGTACTCCATCAATGTCATCAACAGGAACTCCATCCAGGGAGTCCACGCCCATGGGGCAGCCATCTATGTCATCCACGGTAGATCCATCTAAAGGTAATCCATCTATGAGTGAGCTGGCCAGTGGCACGCCATCAAGCTCACACGATGCTTCCTACAAGAACAAATGCACAAACGTTCACCATCCCCCAGCTGTTAAAACGAGACCATAAAGTGTCGGTACTGTCTGTCCTGAGAAGATAAGCTCACCTCTTGTTTGACCTCATCCAGTTTGGCGATGCCCAGAAAGATATTTTGAAGTTGGATTAGATAAAAGTCTGGATATATGGCCCAGTCGTCCCACGCTCGGAAACAATTTGTGATCTTTTGCTGTGGAGACAGAATAAGGGATTGTTTCATAATTATAGTTTCTTCCCCAGTTTGGAGTAAATGTCCTTTTGAAAGAGAAACAAATTACCTTAAATTGTTCGGCCTGCAGCCTGGCTTGTATGTTTTTGTGAGTTGCATTAAGACAATCAAATATCTGTGGCAACTTTACTTCAAAACTGAAAAGACAAAACATATCAAGATTAAAATAGAAACAAAAATCAACTTATTGTAAAAAAAAAAAAAAGAATAATAAATTTTAAAAAAGTCTCACAATTTACGATAATATGATGCTCCGGCTACTTTGGCACTTGAATTGTACAAGACATCTGACACAAGGTACAATCTAGAAACCTGTGAAATCAATGACAAACGTGGGTTAGTTAACTAACATAGGTCCAGAGGAACCGACTTAACTTGGCTGGATTTTTCTGCCTGGATTATTGAGCATGAATAAGTATGTTAAAGTTTAAATGGTCTTGCTCCATCCTACCTCTCTGAGCTGCTTCACCCATACTCTCCTGCTCGGTGCCTCAGATCAGCTGATCAGCTGCTCCTGGAGGTGCCGAGGTCTAAGCGGAGGCTCAGAGGGGACAGAGCTTTTTCTGTTGCTGCTCCAAGACTGTGGAACGATCTACCTCTTCCCATCAGACGAGCTCCTTCACTGTCCAGTTTTAAAACTCTTTTAAAAACACATTTTTACTCCCTGGCTTTTAGCACACACTGAATTTGATCTGCACTGTTTTTATTATTTTATTGATCTTAATGTTTTAACAACTGTTTTTATGTGTTTAAATGTTCTTGATTTTATATGTACAGCACTTTGTGGCAGCTGTGGTTGTTTTAAAGGGCTTTATAAATAAAGTATTATTATTATTATTATTAACTTAACACACTTCAGATTTAGTCTATTCTTTGTCAGAAGCGCTGAAATTGTGTCTCGCTGATGTGGCTGCACGACAAAAACTGCCTTTTCTTTTTCCCTTCTCGCAGCAGAGCATGACTACTCCCTGTCATGAGTATTGTTTCGCAGAGTATGCCCCAAGTATTGTGTGGTCAGAAATTTGTTGGCATGTCAAACGCTGCTCTAATGAGCATCTGGCCTAGGCTGTTAGAAAATATGTCCATCTTTCCCGTAAAACTTACAAAGATAGTCAAATAAAACATTTAAAGATAAGTAAAAAAAAAAAACTAACGTGGATTCCACAATTTTTGTGCATAGCGAGCATGGAGACAGGCGGCTGTCTGTGGCATGCTGACAAGGAGGGAGTACGTCCCAGCTGGACAGCGTGGGGACATGTTCCTGCATAGTCTGTCAGAAGAAATGTTAATAATAATAATAATTTATTGTATTTGTACTGCACTTTACATTTTTCAATCTCGAAGTGCTACAATATGAAACCGCTAGAGATAAGAGCATAAACTAAAAAGGTAAGGTAGGGTATCCTTAGATAATCGGGGAGGGTGTTCCACAGACGAGGTGCAGCAAAGCAAAAGGCCCCTTCGCCCATGGTGTGCAGTTTTGTACGAGGAGGGTGAAGCCGGTAGGAATTTGTGGAGCGAAGGGATCGTGTTGATGTCTGAGCAGTGAGCAAGAATTTACGACAGTATGGAGCATTGCCGTGGATAGATTGGTAGGTGAGAAACCTTGTATTCAGTACAGGGTGAGATGGGAAGCCAGTGGAGGAATTGGGATTGGGGTGATGTGGGGTAAAGAAACTGAAAATAAAACTGGGTTTCTTTTACAGAAATAGATCCTGTTTAACTCTGAATGCAAGAAAACACCTTGTAACTGTGACTTTCCTTCCCTCCATTGATTACGGTGACATTATTTACAGGAACGCTCCTACAAGCACCCTGCAGATGTTGGATGATGCTGTCTATCATGGTGCACTAAGATTCATAACTGGCTGTAACTACTGTACCCATCACTGCACCCTGTATTCACTGGTTAACTGGACATCATTAACTTCACACAGACTATCCCACTGGTACATTTTCATCTTTAAATCACTTCTTGGTCTGCTGCCTTCATACATCTCCTCCTACATGTCTCTGCGTGAGTGCAGCTACAGCGTGCGCTCTCAGGACATTATTACCTGCAGTGTTCCCTCAGTGAGGACTGAACTAGGCAAAAGAGCCTTCTCCTACTCCGCTCCTGTTTCCTGGAATATCTTGCAAAAAGATCTGAAGCTCTCGACCTTGACCTCTCTAAGTGGCTTCAAACATCTGTTAAGTTCAAAAACCAATACAAACATGTTCCTGTTTTTAGTATTTTATATTGCTTTATAATCTAGCCGTTTTTGTTTAGTTTTTTAACATCATTTTTTTCAATTTATATGCTTTCTTTTATGATTGTCTACTGTTGTCATTGTTGTCATCACTCTATTAAAAACAGGTTTCTCTTGTAAATGAGTCCTCGAGGCTCAATGAGACTAACTTGTATAAATAAAGGTTGAATTAATGTGGTCATGTTTCCTTTGCTTCACCAGAATCCTGGCTGCACTGTTCTGTACATATTAAAGTTGTTGAATGTGCTTGGATGGAATTTCATTTAAAAAAGTGTGACAAAGTGATCCAGTCTTGAGGATATGAAGGCATGAACTAGTTTTCAGCATCGGAAAAGGAGAGTAATGGACGAAGTTTGGAAATGATTTTAAGATGGAAGAAGGAAGTCTTGCAATATCAGATTCAAATGTAAGATGAGAATCTAATCTTACACTAAGATTAATCACTGTAGAAGAAAAGGGAACGTCGTGGCCACAGAAGTAGAGATAGATGAGTGAATCTGAGGGGGAGGATGTAGAGGGTAAATGGCATGGACCCTAAGACTGACTCTTGAGGGACACCACAGGTGACTGTGAGTCCGAGATCTTGCTTCCCTGATGGAGAAATACTCAGATCAGTAAGAGAAGTAAGAGCGGAACCATTCCAGAGCTCTCAGTCAATCCTGCAGAGTGTTGTAGCTGATGGAGAAGGATGCCATGATCCACAGTGTCAAAAGCTGTGCTCAAGTCCAAGAGGATCAGTAGGGAGGGAGAACCAGCATTAGCCACCATCAGAAGATAATTTTTAGGGCTGGGCGATATTAAAAAAATATCTAATATTTAAAAATATCTAGATAATTTCATTTGCGATATAAGATGAGACTATACTGATATAAACGATAGTGTTATACTGTACTTGAAAATCCGCCTGTCTTCTTCTCTTTCTGTAAATAAATGTGTAAAAAAACAAACTAATATATGTAAATAGTTTATTTTTTAGACATTTACTTTGTACAGTTACATCTGTTGTTAATAAATGTTCCTGTGTGACAACTGGGACAAAAGCTTTGACTCAGAAATATATTTTTGGTTATTACTTTATGGAAAGACAAATATATTGAGATATATATCGTATATTGCGATTTATCTTAAAATATCGAGATAATTTTGGTCCATATCGCCTAGCCCTACCCTGCCCTAATCATTTGTGACCCTGACCAGAGCTGTTTCCACGCTGTGAACTGAATGAAAGCCTGACTGGAATACCTCATACATTATTAGCAGCGAGGTGGTCATGCAGATGGGCTGTCACAATTGTTTCCAGAACTTTGGACGGAAATGGAAGGTTGAGCTACATCTAAGGCTGTTTTTTTAAGTGGCGTTTGATGATAGCAGTTTTCAAGGTAGATGGAACAAAACCAGTCTGGAGGGAAAGGTTTATCACAGATGTGTTCAAAGGACTGATTAAAGAGATGTTTCTTTTCAGCAGCGCAGTAGGCAAAGGATCGAGGACACAAGTGGAGGATTTCATTCCTTTGGTAATAGCTGTGACTTCTTGCTGGGAGACTGATGTAAAGCATTGAAGAGGTTGAGGGTTTTGATCCTGGGATTTGTAAAATGGTGCAGGTAAGATTACCAAGTTTGTCAGGGCAGACTGGATGATGTGGACTTTGGTGTGGAAAAAGTCAATTATGGTAAGTTTTTGTAGTGTTCTTCAGTCATTTCTGTAAGTGAGGAGGTATAGGGTTGAATGAGATGGTTTACTGTGAAAAAAAAAAAGTTGTTTGGAGTTCCCAGGGCTGCTGTTAATGATGGCAGAGTAGTGGCTGGAACGCATTTCATGGAGGGCCTTCGCATAGATCTTTTGATGCTCCCACTAGGCCTGCTTGTGGACAGTAAATCCAGAGCTTATATATCGTCGCTCAAGGGTGCGTCCAGCCACTTTCAAGTGTCTCATCTCTTATATGTACCAGGAAGTAGAACATGTAAAGCTGACAGATCTAGTACTAACAGGAGCATGTAAGTCCAGAAGATCACTCAGAGTTTTGTTGTGGAAGTCCACTGACTCGCTAAGTGATGACAAGTGATGTTTTTGGTCTCTTTGAGACGATTTTTAAAAATAGTGCTTTTCTCCGTTAACAAAAACACCAGATTTTCCTCTAACTCCATCATCAACTGAAAATAAACATGCACTCTGCCAACCGTGCTGTCTCTGTTGTTTGTGAGTCATGTGTGCTCCAGTGGGAGGGGCTTATCAGGACTTCTCCCCCACAATTTATCTTTGAAAATAAAATGCCCAAGCAAAAAGAATGTCTCACAAACACATCAGCAAGATCCAATCTCTTAATGTCTTGTTAACTTTGAACCAACCTTAAATGTGTTTACACTGAGACAAGAACAATCAAACTGGCCTTCATCTGAAAAGATGTTTGAAGCGACGAAAAAGAGTTAGCAATGTGTTCCACTACTTCTTCTGCAGCATCTGCTCGGTCCAGACAGAACATCATGGCACTGGCGATGCGGTCTTTGCTTGGGGTCAGCTCCTCTAGAAGTGTCTCCAGTTTCTTTCTGTGGCTGAGAGAGGTATACAAAACAATACCAGGCAGTAAACAAGAAAGTACTGCATTCGGCACATTATATGCCCATCGACAAACTTTTATACAGCAATCTACAGCAAAGGCCAGGACAAGCAAATACCTTGTATAACATTTTTCTTGATTTGTGACCTTAGTTGTGGTGATGAAAAGATTATGCGACATACTGCCTAGTGGTGGTACACGTGTGCATCAAGTTTTGATCAATTATTATGAGCCGTTATGTGTGGGTCAAGCAAAGACCTTGTATAACATGACTTTGATATGTGAGCTTGACTTGAGAGCTGGGGTGATGAAATGTATGCATGGCACTCCGTCTAGTGATGATGCATGAGCAATTAAAGTCGCAGTCTTTCGGAAGTTATGGGTGGGACATCAGAAAGTTTATGAACATACAGACACTATACCAAAATAAAAACGAAGCTATAAACAAAATGGTCACAGTTTCGGCCAGGCAGACTTACTCAGATCTCAGCTGCCCTTTTTTCACCTCCTCCTCAGAGATAGTTGATTCCTCTATCTCTGTTCTCCCAAAGTATTGGTTTAGAACGGGTGGTATCCATAGTGAGCCTCCTTTAAACATACGAAAATATGTCGTCCTCCATTCAGTTGGGGTGTCTCCCTGTGGGACAGATGAAGACCAGGTGACTGCATGAACGGGTTCTTTCTGCTAAAATGAGACTTAAAATATCAAAAGATTGTGTTGTGGCAGATTTCACAACTTACCTGAAGGATAGAGAAGAGTCTCCAGCGATAGTACACATGATCTTGTCTTTTACAGTCAAAAAGGAACCTAAGAAGATGAAAAATAAAGTATGTACCAATACTAATTCTCTTATTAACCCCAAGACCAATACTGGTCATATAAAGGACACCTACTTGAAATAGGGATTGTTGCTCTCTCTCTTCATTATCATGGCTTCAAACAAAGGACCTTCACGCACCACAAACTCTACCATCCTGTGAATAAGGACCAGCAGACGTCTGCGGGAGGAGAGACGGTATCAGACAGGGTTTTAAGTCCTAACTCTCAGTGAACACTCATCTCTGTCAGTTACAGTAAAATATCAATAGGACCTCTTCTGAACCACTGACCCATACAGATTGTTGGCTGACTGTGTCAAAGCATTCAGTTTCAGGACTACTGACTACATTAAGATGCCAGAGATCATAGCAGTCCAGTGTGGAATACTGCAAACATCCTACATCCATGTGTTAAGTTTGTATATTTTGGTATTCCTGGGTGAACCACCCCATTGAAATGAATCATTTTTCTGAGCCTTAAAAAACTGATGCAGACTGCTGATCTGACTTGGGTTAAAGTATACAGCTATCTGCCTTCTAGCTGTATCGGTCTGCAGTGTCTCAACCAACCTATGGGAAACCCAGCACTCAAAAACATTTGTATAAGTGTCTTTAACAGTCATTCACAAAAACTATACACTTCTGACTTTAACATGCCTGGATATTATGCAGGAGATCAACTCAGCACTTAAAGGCATTTTAAAATCTTCACTAACCTCCGATTTCTGCACATGTCGCAACACCCCAAAGATCTGGATTTGTCTACCTTGTGTACATGTCAAGGACATTATTAGCTCCTAAACCTGGTTGCTAAAGGCTATGCATAGATACAAGATCAGTGCACGTCAGCCTCTGTCCTATGACACTTGTGTTAAGACAGCTGCTCAGTCGTTGTAGGAAGAGTGTGTGTACCTTTCGGTTGGGATAACCACTTTGACTACGGCATCGTTCAGAGTCTGTTTGTGAAGTCAAATCAAATAGTGGAAATTAATAAAACGTGAGTACTTGTACAGATGAAACACTGCAGGATAAATACAGCATAGAAAACAACGATCGCATTCGTAGTCATTCATGAACTGGGGTAGGTGACAGTGTTCCAGTAAATATATATTTTTTAAAAACATCTACATAACATGAGCTAATTTATCATTTAAAAGGCTAAACATTGCACGATTGTATCAAAATACACAGCATTTTTTTAATACTTGCTTGATTCCAAAAACCTGCATCTTGTAACATTTGGAGTAGGCATGCATCAATAACCATCAGAAGGTCGTAGGAGGGGAAAATAAAATAAATCTGTCACACATCTATTTTTGTCAAAGTTTTTCTTTCATCCTGCTTCTTTCCTGGAGGAGGTGGGGGAGACCGTCATTTTTATGTAACACAGCCTAAAAATCCATCTAGAATTTTTTAATTTGTTGGAATAGTTTCAGGCACTCCCACAACCTCACAGTAACATTACTGCCCTCTAGAGTTCCTGAGGGGCAAAAATCGACCACAGGGAAATCCCATTATAAATGCAATTATAAATTTTGGATCCCATATTTATCATATTATAAAATAATGCACTCCTTTCAGCACTGTTTTTAACCTCTATATCTACTTTTAATTCTTAGATGAGCTCATTCAGTGCTGTTAAGGTTTTACGTTTGAGAGCCTCTGTAAAAATTTATCAGGACGAACTTTTAACTTACACCAGAAAAGGTCCGTCTTTTCCAACTGGACATTACTGGTCTAGTTTTGTTTCTTATTTTGTCCAACAAAATTGCTGTAGTTTGGATGTAAAGGCAAAAACACACTTGCAGTGTGCACAAGAAAACATTTAGTATAAAAAAGCAGTTTCACATGCATGCAGGTGAAAAAAAAACGCTTCAAAGAACGCTCCAGCAGCTTGCTTGTATATCTGGTTCAGTAAAAGCGAATAATAAATAAAATATAGAAACTGGCTTCGTGCATGTGTAGTGTTGTAGAATAAAACTTAAACAACAAAAACTTGTACATCAAACCACTAAGCCCCACAAGCAAGTTTAACCAAAAGCAAGGCCCCATTTTTGGCTGCCTGATATGGAAGATCCCGTGGGCTGGGGGTCTTCACAAAACTCTGAACTGGAATTTAAACAAAAAATAAAAAATCTGTTTGAGTGTCATTTTAACGGGGAAAAATGCTGTTTTTTGTTCCTTCATAAAATTACTATATAGTCTAATTTAAGAAATGAAATATTGAGTTATTTTAGAACTAAAGGCCCTAAAAGAGTTAAATTATTTTAAATTAGATATATTATTTCAGGCTGAGAAAGCACTAAAAGATTGAAAAGTTTATTGTGGAAAAAACATTATACATTTCTATTTTAAGCAGTTATAAAAGGTGGTAATTTTCCCCCTAAGGAACAGTAATATGAAGTTTAAAGACCTTCTGAGGGTTAAGTAATTCAATTTATCTCATTTAGTATTTAGTAATTCAATGTATTTACAAAATTTGGTGTTAAATCTTGTCTTACAGGAAACTAGATTTTGGATTAGATGTTCATTAAATTTTGAAATTAGTGGGGTTTAATATAAATGTGAAAATGTTTTTTTTTAAATAGTGGCAGTACATAATAGTTTTATTTCACAAGGCCATTTCTAGTTGTTTTGACTCTTGTACTTTAGCACTATCCACAAATCAGTATGACACCCGTTATTAGGAGACTGACTTTACCTTCTCGAGCTCTGCTTTAGACATGGTCGTGGACTTTGTGAAAGTGTTGCGCAAGCGATCCCTCGGCTGAGCATTGAAAGGCAGGCCTGATGGGGGCGGAGGTGCCACTCTCAGCCTAACTGGTGTGTACAGGGGCTGAGATGGAATGCGGGCTGGTTTGCCCCATCCCAGTTTCATTTCAAGGCCCATAATCACTTTACCTGTAACGCCAAACATATTCCTGCAGTTACTCTCAATAAGGAAGTCAAACATGGAGTTACAACAGAGGAGTGATGGTGTTTCAGGTCATTTAGAATATTTCCAAAAGTTTACCCTCAAGAGCTTTCATGGCAGTCTCAGCATCTTTTCGCGTCATAAAGGCCACGAAGGCTCTGTTTGAAATTCTGCTGCGCTCCTCCTCTGATCGGGGCCACATGATCTTAACACTGGCCAGGGGGCCGTATTTACAAAACTCTCTGCAGAGCATCTCTTCATTCATCTGGAACAAGAGTACCGCACGTGTCACATTATACGCCAATCAACAGCAATGACCTGGACATGCAAAGACCTTGTATAACTTTTGACCTTGGCCTTAGAACTAGGGGGATGAAAAGTGCAACACTGTTTAGTAAAGAAGCATATACGTTTTAAGTTTGTGGCCTGGACATGCAAAGACCTTGTTTAAACTTTGACCTTGATTTGTGACCTTGGAGCTGAGGTAATGAAAAGTGCATTACACTCATGTGTACGAAGACTATATCATAATACGTCCACCTTTTGACGTGCACAACAATCTAAATAAAAATGGGAGAAATGCCTCTCCCTGAGAAAGACAAATTAAAAAGAGCTCATTTACCTTTTGACTAAGGCACTTAATGGAAAGGTTAGTGGAACTTTTCCACTTTGTGTCGTCATACAAAGCTGTGGGACAAAACACGATTGAGGTTAGTGTAAATTTGAACTTAGTGACTTAATTTAATCAAGCGTGGATCGTTCGGTTGGGCTCCTACATGGTTGTTCCAGTGGAGAAAGGTCATGATAATCAAGTCCTCCTTCGCTTTTTCCATCAGGATCGGTTTTCTTCCTTTTATACCTCTCCTCGCGCTCTTCTTGCATTCTGCATTTTCACCACACACAGAACACCAGCACATGTGGTGAAAAAAAAAAGACGAGATCAAAACAGAATCATGAAATCAAACAAATCTGCAAACTAACTTACAGCTTGAGCTCCTCTTTGAAGAGTTCAAGATTGCTTTTCTTCTTTTCCTCTGTCTTTTTTTTTAATGCCTGTTCATCAAACGAGAAACAAACAGCTGCTAGAACCGATGGTACAATTTTACTAACACTGAGTGAATTTTACTTTACTAAAACAGGACGAATGAGACAATGCACTATGAGCTTTATTTTTTATATTCATTGTGAACCAGTTAATAAATAATTTCTTACTGAATGACCTGCTACCTTATCAATCCATCCATTTTTTTTTACCTACCGTACTTCTTCGTTCTGGGAAGCTGGTGTCTATTTTACATCAGCCATACTTCAACACCCTTAGTAAAAATATGATTGTTTTATATTCCTGCATGATGAGGTAAATATGAAACTGCACAAACTTACAGACTTTTTGCTCTCAGCAGACAATGTTGGTGGAACATTTTGAGGTACGGGGACAAACTTTGAGGCAGGTTGATACAGCTTGCTTTTCTTGACTTCTGCTTCTTTCTCCTCTGCAAAAAAAAATAAAAAAACCAATATATATATATATATATATATATATGTGTGTGTGCACAAAACACAAATAAGGTCTCAATGTGACTATCTGTTTAAAAATGGTTGAATGAATGAAAAAAATAATGTGTAAAAGCAGGGTGATGCTCTTCTGTCAACATTTCAATTCAGTTTATTTATATAGTGCCAAATCACAACAAAGTCATTTCAGGGTAATTAAAAAAAACATTCACATACATAAACAAACAGTATGCCGACTAGGGCTGCAACTAACGATTATTTCAATAATCGATTCATCGGGCGATTATTTTTTCGATTAATCGATGAATCGGCAAAAAAAAAAAAAATTTTAATTTCCACCCCTTTATTCCAAAATTGAACATTTGACTGACATAGCAATTCACACAAAAAACAGGTTGCATTTTACTATTCTGTTAGTAAAAGATTGAATAATAAAAAAATAAAAGTTAGTCAAATAGCTTAAAAAAATAAATGTACACAAAAATATATAGAAATGTATCTTTATACCTGCACAGTATGTAGCTACTTTGTAAAATGTGTCCTTGAGGGAAGAGTGTAACCTGGATTAAAAGTGTGGATTATTGTAACCTGGATTAAAAGTGTGGGTTATTGTAACCTGGATTAAAAGTGTGGATTATTGTAACCTGGATTAAAAGTGTGGATTATTGTAACCTGGATTAAAAGTGTGGATTATTGTA